CTAAAGAGGTGCCGCTGTCTGTGCAGCTGCTGGACAAAACATCCTGTATGCTGTAGGCAAGGGACTGTTTACTTCTCAGTGGCACCTAGCCAAATCTAAAAACTTCAGCAGTGGAATTTGGGCTAAAGTCCAACTCAGAGATACAAATGTTCCAATCCTTTTGCATTACAAGCTGTGTGATTTGAATGGAACCAGTCACGAAGCATTTTATTCATCACTTGTGTAAAAGTTTTCGTAAAAGGCAATTTTATTTTGGTAATAAGAGTTGAACAACATATTTATTTTAGACAAGAGGAGGAAATGGAACGAGTGGCCTGATTAAAGATGTGCAATGTGCTCTGCTCACACAACTTCATCCACCAAACGTCCCATGTTTCAAACTTAACTTTCCGTACCTACAGATAACTTTGTGAAAAACTTAGTAGATAACTTCAGGTGTCTGATAGGCCGCTTGTACTCATTCTGTTCACGGAAGCTCTGAAAAGTTTTGGGTTTATTATCATTTAAGCAAGCAATTCTTCCTCTTGTTACTTGTTTTATAGACTCTACTTATGAAATAAATTGTAAGCCAGAGATAGTCTGCATCAGAACCCCTGATGCAGACTAAAACTAACGTGACTGAGATAACGTTAGTGAACCCTCCAAAAATTTCCTGATCCGATTCGTCACACAGCTGCACAAACACTAGAGCTAGTGCGGCGGAGGGGGAAGCGTGCCGACGCAAGCCGGTAACGGTGAAAAGGTCGGGAGGCTTCAGTCAGCAGGAGCTGACAGCAAAACAGGAGCTTGGTCAGCAACAGACACACACACAGGTTTCAAACGCCTCTGTAATTCATGAGTGCATCCAACTGATCAAGGCAATTAATGGTATCTCACTTAAAATTTTTGCAAGCAGTGACTCCTCCAGGAAACAAATTTTAGGGAATTCTTTGAATGTCCTAGGAATCCTTACCTGGATGCCGAGGAGTTTTTGGTTTTGCCCATTACAATTGCAACTTTGCAGTTTGGGTTCCCAGCACCTTAAAAAAGTCACAAACACAAAAACCAGTTTTCAATATTAAAATCTCAATGTGGAATCAAATGAAGTTCCATATGAATAAATCTTACTCCTTTCCTTTCGTGATACAGGAGCAAAAGCACGCAGTCTACTTCTATGTTTATACTCTGAGTAATCAGACTGAAACAAAATACAATGTAAAAGGGAGTTGACTTGTGGGGAGGAGAATAATGAAAAGCCAAACATCCAGACCCTCCAGGATCCAGCTCCATCATCTATTCCTATGAGAAGAGAACAAGAAGGTACTTGAAAGGGAATCTAATTACTTCTGCCTCCGTTAAGCCAAGCAAATAAGCGTGATACAAAAGCATACCTCAAAGTGAAATGCTGCCATTTCAAAAGTAAAACTTCTTAAAAGTGGAGGATCTATGTGGGAATGAAGTGCCGAGCACATTATAACCAAATTACGCAAATAAGGCTATCAAAGGGTTACCATGACGACTTTGCTACCACTTCAGCGCAACTTGGCTGGAATGAAGGGGGTTTTTCCCCCCTTTATGCAAATACTTTTAGTTTGCACTTCAAAAAAAGATCTGAGTGGAAACTGTTACCTGAAAATAATCTGCTTGAATTTCAAGCCATTGATAACACTATTTCAGGTGTGTCTTTGTAGCACAAAGCTAGCATTTTAATGTACAAGTCCTAAAGAAGATTCTACCATTAATTAAAATAGCATCTTATTTCTAAGAGCCTTAATCCTCACTTTCTTTTTCTTTAAAGCTTTCATAGTACCGAAGCATGCTCTCTTTCCTTTCAAAGTCTCCCACAGACAACAAAGCTATGGAAAAGGGGGCAGGATTACACCTGACATAGGTAACAATCAAGCATACTTTTTATTGCTCACTCAACGCAGATGACAAGCTTTGCAGAGATTTAATTCACGATTTGATCTGTACCGACTCGGTTTGTTTGGAGGTCAGAATTGCACAAGCGGTGTTTTCTAAACCACATTAATCTTGAAGTGAGGTTTTCAACAAAAGATATTTTGACTTTCTGGAATCTCTTCAAAAACTGTTTTGTAAACAAACCTCAGGTCACATCCCTGCTTCAAAAAAAGGCACAATTCACCATGTCATATTGAAAAATTCAGAAGAAGCTTTCGTGTTGAACTTGGTGAGGAGTTCACTGAGAGCTAGACATCTGGTTAGACGCTCTAAATCATTAGTACAAGTTTCTGGAAGGCAAATGAATAGCCCTGGTTTATATGGGCTTTTTCCCATCTGAACATAGCAAAGGAAGACAGATTTCTGGCCTTTCCACTCCCTAAGAGTCTGAAGTCCTGAAAATCTAAGACAAATTGTATGCAACTTTGATCCATAAATGCCAGAAAGAGGTTCTGGTCTAATGCAAGACTCTGAAAGACTCCAGTGCATCGGAAGAAATGCAGACTGCCTGGATGGAATAAAGCTCTCATTTGTAAATGGCATTTTTACATGACTTACAGAATTCAAAGAAGCCGCTGGAGGAAGAGTCAGAGCAGCCTGTCATTTTAGCAGGAGTTAGAAGCAGTTTTGCAAAAAAAAAATCACAATTGAACAAACAGAAATACTAGAGATTTTAGAAGGTCAGTTTTAAGCATATTTCCATATTGATAAACTTTTTAATAAGCTTTTCCATATACACGTCTGTACAACCTGTCCCAAATTTTTAAACCACAATGCCGCTACACTGGGAAACATCAGAAGTTTAACTAATGGATTATATTTTTTAACTCTTTATGGCACTCCCGCAGACAAAGACAATGATATTTTAAAATGTGCTCAGAGGGTTGATCGCACACAGCCGCAAGCGCTTCTTAGTTAAGCAAGATTTTGCATTCACCCTTACTTATTAAAGAGTTTCTGTTATTTTTGAGCCTGTAGGGCCATACTGAAACACAGTATTACACAACAGGATTATTTCTGTACCCTGACGGGAAGGGTCTGTCCTCTCCGCACCCTGCAAAGTTAGGAGGAGCTGAGGCACTGCCATAAACAGCGCAGGATTTACACCAACTGCCTTCCTACAGCCTGCCCGCAGGACGCCTGGGACAGCGGTAACACAGCCATCTTTTCCGCAGCGAGCACACAGAGGGGTTTCCCTGGGAGCCTTCTCAGTTCTAGCCTGATTATTCTATCTTGTTGGGGCCCGTATTGAAACAAGGCCTATTCAGAACCGAGAGATTCACTTATTTTAAAGAGATATAGCTCAGGCATCCACGCAACGACACGACTTGCGTGAAGCAGACGTGCTGGAAGCAACCCAAATGTCTTCACTGCTGTTCTTCACAGTGGCAGGTAAGTACTGTGACAACTCAAGACGAAAACATTGCAGAAACATGCACAAATATTGTAGCACTCTTTCTCTAGACTCCAATTCCTCTCCCAACCCATTTTTCTTTCTGGTCGTGAATGCAAATAAAGCTAGAAGCATGTGGAAAAACACCTGCCTGTTACATTCGTAGCTCCCCATTTTGAAGAACCTTTCCTTTCACGTATTCCAAAATAGTTGAAGCACAGACAGATGGCTAATGCAGCTGTGGCAGGTGCATCAATTTAGTCAGCCGGCCAAAAAGCAAAACCTGACCTCTAGTCTGCTCAAAATCTCTCTCTGTTGTTTGGCTTTGATATTGCATTTACCGAAACTCATGAGACTGCTACAGGATACAGGATAATTCAAACAAAAGCAAAGCTCTGGGAGATCACGGAAAGCTCCGACACTCTGCACAAAGTGCTCTTGCACAAGAGACTAATTTGAAGCTGTAGAGATCGTGGAAATTTAAGCAGGATCCAGCCATTTTAGGAATTCTAAGCACAGGTGAGTCCATGCCTCAGTGCAGAAATACTAATGTCTGCATGTAAACTGCAGAACTTCTCCATCTTCCCTTTCCTGAAAAAGTTTTGACTCTTCATAATGCAGAGAGCACACCACAAGCGGAAGAAACTTCATGAATGGAAAAAGCATCTTTCTGTTTTTCTTCTAGAGCATCTGCCTGGCTTGCAGTTTCTGTAGAAATATTATCAAACATTAACTTGATTATGAGCCTGACTGGTAACATTCAAGTCCCTGAGAACTCTCCCACAGGGTGCAGGACTATCTGCTTATACACTAACTGACGATTTACCACCTGCTTTCGTATCTTTTCCCTATCATCTTCCTGCTTTTGTATCTTTTCCCCTAATATCTTCCTGCTTTTGTTCAGTAGCACATACTGAAAGAGCAACCTCCCCCATCTCACAAAAAGCAAATGCATCTGTCTACTGTATCCCCTAAAAAGTTACTTAAAAAGGGGATATAAGGATCTCTTAAAACCTTATATAGGCAGCCATCAAAGGGAAGAATATAGTGACTCCCTACAGGTAACTCTGCCCCAGACAGACCTCCTCTTTCTCTCCTTTTCATCTTTTAAGGGTGTGATTTGATAAAAGCCTTTTGATGATGTAAAACAACATTTGGGCTTTCAGGAATAAAACCAAACACCACTACAGTGAAATACTAAGCGAGTCTTGACCTTCCAAAGAACACTCACATTCTGGTTGCAATAGGGAGGAATGTAGGAAACGTACGTGCTCCAACAGGAGAAGAGCTTCCAGGAATGCAGGATTTTTATTTTTTTTTTTTTTTTAAACTGGCAAGTCAAAATGAAAGCGCAACTGACTTCCAGATGAGGGTGTGGTTCTTGAAGACAAAATGCAATGTGTCACACCAATTCAGACCATTTCACTGGAGCACAGCTCAACTGCAGTATCTGCTACTAGTCTGCTGACAAAAGGTTAGTTTTGTTTTAATATTTACTGCTCTGTATATATATAGTGTGGTATCTTATTTACATGGAGAAGGCTAGGATTTACTCTTACTTTAGTTGGCTTTACAGAAAGACATCATTTCACTAAGGCACATGCTCATTTCCAGTCTTAAAATTAGATCTGTTCAGTAGAAGAACAGAACAGTGCTTAATCCATTAAAGAAAAAAATCAATCTGTCTGTTTAAACTGGGGATACTAACTTCATTCAACATGTATTCATACAACCCCATGTCAAGTTTAAACACGCAGAAACACTGAATTTGTATCTAAATGGAAGGCTGGAATATTTCCGCAAGAAAACATGCAAAGCTGTCTGTTAATATCTATTAATATACCTCCTAGAAAGCAGCGCTTGAAAAAACAGCCGAGGCTCTTGAGTTGTTTGGGTACTTGTGGGCAGTCCTGCATGAGATAAGATTCCTTTCTGTCATAACATCCAGAGACGTCTCCAGCTGTAAGATGCGGCATACCCACAGCAATTTGATTCTGTAAGAAATTCCACGTGGGCGTAAGGCGGCTCGCTGTGTGGGATGGAGACTAACCTACGCTTGTTCCACCACCGTTCAGCACCTGCCTCCCATGGGACTGCTTTGCTTTATGTAATGGGCTTTCCGTATACGTGCACCTGAGAAACAACATTTACAGGAATGACAAATATGAATAGGTACGTTAGCCAAAACATAACGGTGTTTGTCAGGGAGAAATATCAGCTGTTGCATTTTAGAAAACTTTTTGTTTCTGTCAAGAACTCAGGTCAGCCAAAAGCATATCAGGCAGTGGAGCGTGTACTTTGTCACAGCCAAACCGCTTTGGGATACACGGACTTCTTGAACTTTGCACTGAAATGATTATTGTTTTGCTTTTAAGCAAATTTGCCAGTGATCCAATTTGATTAAGCATTCCCAGATAGGTTCTGTAATAAGTGCTTTAGACAATAACCAAATCTTTTCAGTTTAACTTTTAATTTTTTTCTAATCTTGGCTAAGTGGATTAAACTGTCCCTGCAGCTTTCTCTTCTACTGAAAAAACAAAAAAAGATAAATTTGCTGCTGATGTCTGAATCTCTCCTCAAAGTACTGTAAAGCTGCAAAAGATTACCCCTGCTGAAAAATCCTGCTAATACAGCTTGTTAGGTATAGAATAGACATCCCCTGCCAAAGAAATAAAGAGAATTACCGTATTTTTCCATTCTGCATGGAAATTTAGGCAGACCTCATTTAGGCCACAGTAAATGACAGATTACAATACTTAAAATAAGAATAATCATTGATTAAAGTTTAACGGGAAGTGTTTTGAAATGTTAACAAAATAATCCAACAAAGTCATTGAGGATGAAGCCAAAGCAAATAGTTAATTTCTAACTAACATACTTTTTAACAAATTTAGACAGCAGATTCACTGAAGGAAAAAAACCAAGCAAACCCAGAAATTATTCATTCTTTATTTAATTGGTCTGCATCCCTGAATATGAGATCAATCAGTAACTTATTTTCCCTGGTAGACAGAATAAATTAAATCTTTTTAAAAGAGATACTGTTTATAATAAAGGTTTGGCAACCCTTCAGTTAAACCTTTGACTAAAACCAAAAAATGTTATTTGGAGTTTTTTCAAGCTTGAAAAAGCCAAATTGTAGCTCTAGGGCAGAGTATCCGATAAGAATCTGCTTTCAGTAACATTGGCCTCAAATCCTGAAACACTGCAGCTGACGAGAATGGGGGATGTGTTTTTCATTCTCAGCTACTTTTTGCTACTGCTGTTAAGAAATCTTAATCCCATTTATTTCAAGAAAACAGGGCACTGCAGGACTGGAGTTTACAACAGAAAGAATTTCAGCAAATTAGGCAAGGAACACAATTACAGGAAAAGAAGAGAATAGTGTAGGACATGACTTGCTTAAGACACAGCCTGAAGACAGGAACGCTCAAACTTCAACCCTAAGCTGGCAGCAAGAATACAGCCTTCGTGTTTACAGAGTAAATCTGGCATGAGATAGTACTTGAAAAACCAGCAGAGTTTCTGAGCTGTTTGGGTACTTGTGGGCAGTTCTGTATGTAAGGGGTAAGATCCCTTTCTGTCATAACATCCGGAGACGTCTCCAGCGGTAAGATGCAGCATACCCACAGCAATTTGATTCTGTAAGAAATTCCACGTGGGCAAGGCTCGCTGCGGGGGACGGAGACTAAACCAGGCTTGTTCCACTGCTGTTCAGCTCCTGCCTCCACTGCTGCGCTTTACCTAATGGGCACAGATCTGTGTGCCTGAGAAACAAACAAGCACACTCTCCCTATGTTCTACTCACATTCCAAACTGGCCAAAATTCGTGACAGCAGACACAGAATACTCCTGCTTGCCTCTCAGCTTTAATCTGTTAGTATTCCTTATCCGCTCTATTGTAACGGCATTTACAGCCTTCAACGGGTACTCCTTTGCTTTGCAGAGGCTTATGGAGAGGAAGGTGTAATTATAATCCTATAAAGGTACAGACAAAATTATTTTGCAATGGAATGTTGTCAAACATAACTGAGTCAGAGCCGTTGAAGCAATGACGGCTTCTCAACTGAAGCGTGGAAACCGGCAAGGTGCACTCCAAGCATCCTGCAATCTCAAACGCTAAGGATAATGAAAACGTTTCAGTTGAATCCATTTTCCTTTGTATTGCACACACGGATGTAGTCAGTTACCCTATTTCACGTGAGAATTTGAGATGGTCTGTTTTGCCCCCATCACCCTCTAGCTCAACTTTGATTATTCACGAATGTATTCTCAATATCCAACTTCTTTAAACTTGATATGTGTAAGCAACCCTGAGCAAGGGGTTTAGGTTTCAACAGAAATTTTAAAACTTAAACCCAGTATTATTTCTTTGGTGTTCTCTTCTCACTCCCTTTTTTTTTTTTTTTTTTTTTTTTTTTTTTTTTTTTCTTTTTTAAACTTGATATGTGTAAGCAACCCTGAGCAAGGGGTTAGGTAATTTTAAAACTTAAACCCAGTATTATTTCTTTGGTGTTCTCTTCTCACTCCCTTTTTTTTTTTTTTTTTTTTTTTTTTGTATCTTGTAGCTTTGCCATGGCCTGGGATACGAATAACTCAACTGATTACTGGACTGAGTACGAGGAGGATGATCTCAACTCTGTTATAGACTACAATACATACGAGCTTCTCTGTGAAAAAAGTGATGTCAGAAATTTTAGTAAATTGTTCCTCCCTGTGTTCTATGCATTGGCTTTCACTGTTGGAGTAGCTGGAAATGCATTAGTGGTTGCGATTTATGCCTATTGCAAGAAACCGAAGACTAAGACAGACGTGTACATCATGCATCTAGCCATTGCTGATCTGCTCCTGCTCTTTACACTCCCTTTTTGGGCTGCAAATGCAGTGCAGGGATGGGAACTTGGAAACTCCATGTGCAAGCTCACTTCTTCGCTGTACACCATGAATTTCAGCTGTAGCATGCTGCTCCTGGCCTGCATCAGCGTGGATAGATACAGGGCCGCTTCTCAACCCCGGGGTCAGAGAAGAATTGGTAACCACTGCAGTGTTACCTGCATCTGTGTCTGGCTGGCTGCCATTTTCCTCAGTATCCCTGAACTGATATTCAATCAAGTCAAGAAACACAATGACAGGAATGAATGCCTTCCTGTATTTCCAATGAACATGGAAACGCTCTTAAAAGCAACCATTCAAATCCTGGAAATTATCCTGGAGTTTCTGCTTCCTTTCCTAGTAATGCTGATCTGCTATTCAGCTACTGCTCGGGCAATCTTTAGATCTGCAAATGCTAAAAAATCTAGACCTTTCATGGTTCTGCTGGCAGTGGTGGCTACTTTCATTATTACCCAGCTACCCTACAACATTGTTAAGTTCTGGCGAGCCATAGATATCATCTACATGTTGATTACTGACTGTGATGCAAGCAAAACCATCGATGTTGCGCTCCAGGTCACCAAGAGCATAGCTTTGTTTCACACCTGCCTGAACCCTCTTCTCTATGCCTTTCTGGGCGCCTCTTTTAAAATGCGTATTATGAAAATCGCAAAAAATTATGGATACTGGAGAAGACAACAGCAGAACGGAAGACCTGAAGAAATTTCTATGAATTACGAAGACCATACTGAAGAAACAATTAGTTTCACTATATAGACTCTCCATTACTTTCATTACCTTATATAACCAAGGGAATTATTTACTAATTCTGGGGGTATTGTTTCAGCACCTGTTTCTCTGCAAGTCAACTTTCAGATGAATTTCTGAACCTGCAGACTAGCCAAGACACTACAGGGCAGTTCAAAGTGGAACGTGTTGATCAAAATTAAGCATCAGGCAAGAACCAAACACTGAAATTCCTAGAAACAACTAGAGATATTTACTAAAAACAAAACCAAAAAAACCCCACAACAAAACCCAAACACCTAAAAAAACCCCAAGATTTAAATTTAAAAGTGTGACAGCACTAGGCAATTAAATAGCTGTGTAATGAACAATCTGTATATGTCCAAACATCTAATTAAAACAGAAAAAGAAACCATCAGCAATAAAACAGCAGTACAGGAACTTTTGTACCAAAAGTTAATAATCTTGTGTTTCTCCAACTGTTTTGTAAAACTTCAGAACATTTGCCTAGTGAGTCAGTTCCATTTTTTTCCTCAGCTATTACTCCATAGATACCAGCTTGAAATGAGGTATAAGTTCATGGCTGAGAATTGAGGAGGCAGGGGGGGAAAGCATTCTCTGTGTGTTTCCACATACGTATAGCAGCAACAACATCCTCCACAAAAAACACTAACTCCTTCTTCGTAACTACCAAAAATGACCTTTCACCTCTCCTTTTCCGCTCACCCTAAACTTCAACAAGCCCAGTGCCCTAGGGGACTCACGTTCTAGATCTCTGTAAATGCCAAAGTAGAGCAGTCAAAGCATTAGCAGAAATGTAAGAAGTTAAGTTAATCTTCAGACCCAAGGCCTGGAATTTCTAGTCAGAAGTTGTAAAATGAATCAAACATTGCGATAACTGTATCTGCTAAAACAGAGAGAGATACAATAAAATCAAAGAGTACAAAAAGTGCACTGGCTTTCATTTATTCCTACTTTTGTTTTGTTTTAGTAGGGACTGACATCTCTCATCACAGGTATTTATCAAGCTACAGGCTTTGCTAGATGAATGAGAGAGGTTCTGACTCCATATGGAGCTCGTGGTCAGTGGGATTTAAAGTTTTCCCACGGAGAGGTTCCAAAGCTGTCCCCTCCCACAGTGCTGGTGAGGATTCCAGGAAAACAGAAGTTTTCCATGAACCTCTGTAAGCATTTCAAATATATTGACATATTAGCTTTCAAAATTAAAAAACTGGTATTACAGCATACTGTCCCTGTCTATAAACACCCCGTGGGCTCTGACAGAATACCTGATCTATAGCTTATGAAAACCAACAAGAATCTCTCATTTTTAGACATTGTTCCTAGTTACATAATTATGGTCTGGAAGAAAAAGCTCTAAAATGACAGACAAGAAGTAACTGTAGCGTAAACAAGACACAAGCCTCTCCTCTCTGTTTCAATGAAAAAAGCTTACAGAATTTCTGCCCAGTATTTTGATAAATGCTAGGGCATGAACAAATAAGTCAGAAGTGCTTGACAGATGGTCTACAGACACACCATAAATCTGACAGAGGTAACATTTAAAGAACAATAGTAGCATTCATTCTGTGAATGAAATTCAGAGGTTCCAAAAAGGGTCCAAAACCCCAAACTGGATTTGAGTCTTGGACTTTGTTTCATAGAACAAAAGCTCAATTCAGCACTTTCTGTTGTTTTACATTCTATCACCTTTACTCAAGAAGAGGCAATTTTACGTCTCAGAAATGGAGCATAAATATTTTTGTTTTATCAGTTCTTGGAAAGAATTTTAGACTTAGCCATTCTTATTTAGAGTTTCCGTACTTACCACTGCTCCACCACTTCTTGCCATTGATCACATAACTGTCTCCATCTCGCTCAATGCTGCATTGCATATTGGTGGCATCACTTGAAGCCACATCAGGTTCTGTGTTAAAGAAAAAAAAAAACCACCAACAACAACAAACTCCCCCACTGGATTAAATATACAGGTAGTACGACCTCCACAGATACAGGGATCTAGATACACTCTATTGACAGTAACACTGTTTTGCTCCCAGTAGAAAAGCTGTTTTCAGAACCTCACTCTGCTGGTGGCCAAAGGCTTTGTATCTTCCAACAACCTGTTCTTCATAGCCAGTTTAAACTTACTTGTTCTTGGGCTCAGACTAACCCTTATAGTCAACAGCCTTCTTCCTTCCCTTCCTTCCTCCTTCCAATGTACTTATAGATAACAATCATATCTCTCCTCAGCCTTTTTTTACCCCTAGGCTCTTCTCAAGTGAAAATAAAGAGATTTAAACTACTTTTGTGATGATTTATGAAATAGGTTACACAAAGCTGCCGGCAAAATGTCATTGATGATTGTTTGGAACAGGAAAGATTCTTCCTCTCTCCTTTTACCCTCAACTTCTTTTACAGGCCATCTTCTTTAAAGCAAAAGTATTTCTTTCCTCTCAGGGAACACAGTGAAACAGAATTTGCAAAATAAGCATCCAGCTCTGCAAGGCTGAGTTCTCTCAACTCCTGCTGACCCAGGAAGATGAAGATTTTGACATCACATGTTCAAAAGCTACCTTCCTGTATCAAGAGCCAGGTCTTCCCGAGATGCTGAACGCCACAAGCTTTCAAGAGCAAAGATGAATACAATGCTGAGCTACAGACATAAAGCAAATGCATCCTATGTTTTGCAAGTTATCTTCAGGTTATGCCTTAAAACCTCTACCTACGACATACTGCAAAACTATACAACTTTAATCACAATAATCACACTTGTACCTAATTGTACGTTTCTAGAGAATCCCAAAGCACATTACAAGAAAGGGTAAGCCCTATTGTAAACCTGTTTGGTATAATAAAATGTATTTTACTAGTACCAAAACTAAAAATATAGAGAAAGCAAGTATCAATTACTGTAACCATGAAAAACGGTAACTATTGGGGAAGGGCAGCAAAGGTGCTTCCCTTTGCATTCACACTTCACAGATGATTTCCTATTCAAATTTCTGTATTAATTCATTAACACAGGACAACTTGCAGTTTTGTACTTTTTGCATATGCCATGTGAAATTTCTGCCAATTGGCTCTAACTTTCTTCTGCAGAAAAATTTACCTGTCATGCAGAAGCAAGAACTAATCTTCCCTTCTAGGAGAGGCTCCAGCCACTCTTTCTTTTGCTCTTCAGTCCCATACATGTGCAGGACCTCCATGTTTCCAGTGTCTGTAAAAAGTCAGCAGTCATGTTTAATTCTTGAGACACGGAACTCCTAAGGTGTAAGATGCCCAACGTTTTACTGCTCTCAGGCTTGTAGTTATGGGACAAGGTTGCTAACCTGGTGCATGACAGTTGAAAACCTCAGGAGCAAAGAAGCACTTCCCCATCTCCTCAGCTATTAGCGCATAGTCAAGCTGGCTGAGACCACTGACAGCTGGGAGAAAAAGGTTCCACAGACCTTCTGCTTTGGCCATTTCCTGTTGACAGAATCAATAGAGAAAAACAGCACTAAATCTTAAAAAAAAAATAAATAATTTTAAAAAAAAATAATTCTGGCTTGCCACCCATTTTCTTCCTTCCTGCCTAACATACTGTTCAATATATCTGATGCCTTTTTTCAATAGCTATTCTCAATAGGTACAGTCTTTGACTTAAAGCTCAGACGTACCCCCCACAGAACTCACTTTCGCTTTCCTCCCCTCTCACTGGTATCTCTCACCTCCCATGGCACACTTCCTACTTCCTTTCCTTTCGCTGCTCCTCACACTGTTTCTTTCCATGCCATGTAACTTCTCCAGCAGGATACGGCAAACATTCCTACCCTCTATGTCAGTGCCTGTTTCTTTTACTGCCAGAGTGCTCAAGAATATTTATTATTCCATACCTTCAGTCTCTCAAGCAGTGGTGGTTTCTTCCATTTTTCCTCAGTATTTCCAAGTCCAGCATAGTATTCTATTATTTCCTTAGAAAAACAATTTAAAAGATGCTGTTTAAATTAAGAACACATGAAACATACACAAGTAATAATATGGTGTCTTTTCCAGCCCTACACACCAAGAAACTAATAAAAAATATTCAATAGTTTTTTATTACATAGTTGGTTCCATTATAAAATTAAAAATATAATTGAAAATCAAACTGCAATCTATTCATTTTGCAAGACTTTAAATGCGTCATGGAGATGACCCCAATCAGCACCTTATTTCATACAGGGAAATGATTTGGGGTCGTTTAAAGTATGCGATGATGATGCTAGAACGTCATTGTTTTCTGGTGATGGAAGTAACTGTTACCAACAGAATGCACAAGAGGCATGAACGCAAAGGTAAAACAACAAATAAAAGCCTGATGTACTGACACTTAAGATTCAGGTTTCCTATCACAACACTCAGATATATAAGTCAGTTACTCCTTTTTTAATTGAGAAAAAACCACAAGAATACATTTTCTTTTCTTTACGTGAGCTGTCATTCCGAGCACCAGTGATTAGCACTAAGTAGAACTGTATAGTCAGTAATCCTAGTATTTTCACAAGCATGCTTCAGTGAGGCACAGCACTTCAAAGCTGGCCCAGAAGTAGTTTTAGAACAAATAGAAGTAGTGCCCTCTTCTGAAAATCACACAATAAGACAAATTCCGAAATAGAATTTACAAATCCTGATTCACAATCCCTGTTATCAGCAATAACTTACAAGCACAACACTACTCATCTGCAAAACTTGCAAAGCTACTTGTGGTTCATTTGTTTTTAAAGCCATTACTTTAATTATTGCAAGGCTTCCTTTGACAATCCAAAACTAGTTACAGACGGACTTTTAAGAAACTTTGCATATCAAGAGTTTCTGCTCTCAGCCTCTCCTTGCGATAGGCAGATGCATTCATAAATCTTTCAGATTAATATGTTCTCTGCATTTCTGCCTGACTGCAAAAAAAAAGGAAAAAAAAAATCAAAAAGCAAAAAAACCCAATTCTGCAACAAAGGTATCTGTGCTTCCAGGAGGCTAAAAATTGAACCAACTTTCTAGGTGGATAATTTCTAATCTCCCTGGGCTAAGAAGTAAAATGCTTCATCTCATTTTCCCTTCCACTAATTAGGGACTTCTGTGGATATCTCATTATATGATTTCAGACCTTCACTGGTATTAGATATATTCAGGAATGAAGCTACATGGATACATTATGGAATCCCATGTCTTTTCATAAAAGTCACACCTTAAAAAATAAGGCAAGAAACAGAAACATTCAACTTTGTATGGTTAAAAACAGCAGTTGCCATTTATTAACTAAGCATCTTTCCGTTTAGTACGTAATAGTTCTAGGTTTTTGTTAGTGTTAAAAGCATTTTGGCAAATACCTTTAAAAAAGTAACTCTTTTTAAACTTTTAAAAGGAGTAGTTCTTAAACTCCAAAAGTTTAAAAAGTAACTGTTCGCTTTCATTAACAATGCATACAACATTTTAATTCTGCAAAAAAAATTAATGCAGACTATAATGATCTCTTTTAATATTTTGCAATGCGACAAACATCACTGCATGAAAAAAAGGCTGTTTTGGAAAAAAAAAATAAAAATTGGAGGACATGACTTCTATACATAGTTTTACATTTTTATAAACTCTAGTCATAAAATGTTCATTTATAAATAGGTTTACCAAAACCTTTTACCTTCTCAGCTGGATATATATGCTGCTTCATGAACTGCTTGACCTTCAGCAAAATTTCTTGGCCTTTCCTACTTTGATGGAACAGCTCTACAGAAATGCTGTGATGTGTGCTGCTGAACGATGACCTAGAGAAGAACATTTAATGCAGTAAAAGTAAGACCAGATTTTCCCTGATAATAATGTAAGCTGCCTTATACAGGCATTTTAAAAAGTGAGGACACTGTAAAAGCTTTGCCTTGCCTTTGACCAGTACTTTAGATCACTCTTACCTTTTTGAGAGCTCTAACCCTTGCTCTGCCAAAGGCTTCACAATCTTAGCAAACTCATGACTATTCTCTGCAGAAGCATTTCCAATGAGATATCTAGCATATACACCCTAAAACCAAAAGAAAGGCATATATGGTATAATTATGCACTTAAAATTGTCTCTTTAATAAATTGATGGTTTCTTCAACTATGAAAGTAACACTTAAATGCACTTATTATTAAAAGGAAAAAATTAGCACCCAGACAGATTTTACTGGGATATGTTAATATTGGGTTTGGTCCATTTCTGATATAATGGAGATGCTTGGTGCACAAGACAAAAAAACCACACCCCAGCTAAACCAAACTAAAGGCAAATCACAAAAAGCAGTAGAGGAAAAAAAAAAAGCTCTGCACATGATACTGCAAGAAAGCCCAGCTGTCCCTTAAGCCAACTGACAACAGTATACAGATACGATTGTTATCCACAACTAAATTAACTACCCACATACACACTCTTACTCCAAATTAATACCAGCTAGCTTATCCCACATTTGGTATGCTGATCTCATGCTGTAACTCATTAAAATATACTTATGCCCTACAATGGCTGAATATCTAATTAAACAATTACTTCTGTAACAGTAAATCAACAAAACTTATTTTCCCCTGTAATTACATCACAAGATTGGCCTCCTATGCTCATAATAAGCTGAGTTCACCACACACGCTATTTCACCTGTGGCTGGCACCAACAGGGTCTTACTTATCTCTCCTGCCATCTACTTTCATGAGAGCTGCAGAAACTTAGAAAGATCTTTGTTCCTCTGTAATACAGGATTTAAGTTAGCCAGAGAGTGCAACAAGGTAATGACAAAATTGCCTGCATACTGGAATATCAATAATGAAAAATCCACATATCCACATTTTCGTCGTTTTTAGCCTGCTTTCCTAAAAGTTAGCTCTATCTAACGCAGTGTACTTTATGTAGCAAGAATTCTATCTTGTTATCAGTCACATGCATCTAAGATACTGCTTCTAAAGGAACAAACTGAAATACAATGGTTCCAGTTATTATTTAAATATTATTCATATTCTGAACAAGTATTACCAACTACAAATACTCACAATAAAAATATGTGACATTTCAGCAAATGTGAGCGTATTACCTGGAATATTGCTGCCATTTTAAAACACGACAAAGCAAGAAAAAAATTAAAGTTGGATAAAGTAGTGTTAATACCCCGGCAGCGGCAGTAAATGGAAATGAGTTCTTTCAAAGAAGGAGTTTCTACAAAAACAACAACAGAATATTTTAGAATACTCAACATTTTCTATGATTTTTTCCCACCTTATTCTTCAAACATTTGAACAGCTTTCCAGCTTTATCAGATATTCCATTTACATAGTAAAAACCTGATTTATCTTTTCTCATGACCTAAGCGTGATATGGAGAGCCAAAAGGAAATAGGAGTTGGCAGAATTCCAGATAAGTATAACACTTCCTACCACCCTCACCTCCGCTCCTGTCAGGCAATTAATTTCACCAGGGCAGGGGGGTGGTGGTGCCTTTTCCTTTTTCCTAAATAAATGATACATTTACATTTCAATTTCAGTTTTCTTACATTATCTCTAAGAAAGGTTCAAAACAAACTTTTAAAGAAGTAGCATACTGTGGCTAAGCCACAGCTTGTTAAAACAGGACTACCTTAAACCTTACTATCAGCATGTTTCCTACAATGAAGAAAACTATGGAAAAGTTATTTTCAAGTGCAAAATAATGTGCTTATTAATTTCACTTTTTATTACTGTTTATAAAGGTAACATATCAAAAAGAAATCAGCCCTAGAATTCGTTTCAACCACAAGATTACAGTTTCATACCTACGGCGTCTTTGAAACCCAAGACAGTTCCTTGACCTAAGTCCTTAATAGATGTAGGCCAGAAGTAGAATAAAGTGGCATACGCTAAATCTGCTAAAGGATGACCAGCAGTTGAAAGTTCCCAGTCCAGCACTGCCAAAACACGAGCCTTAAATAAAAATAAAAACCTCAAGTGAATGCTAGAAGATAAATTCTCTCCATCCACAAATGCACAACCCATTTAATATCCAACAGCTTTATTTGGTTACTACGTGTTTAAAATTAAAAACACGCACTATACCTGTCTATAGCAAAAACAGTTCCTTTTAGCACTGTGTAATGATCTGCAGAAAATTAACATTCACATAGGGGCAGAAAAACAGCCACTTTCCCAAGGAAAATCTGCTTTAAATTCTACATTTTTGAGTAGTGTTCTTCCTGTCAGAAACTTCTAAACTTTTCTAGGCAAAAGATGATTGAATTAAAATATCCTAAAGAACAGTAGTATTGACGGTTGGGGTTTTTTTTGTTTCCAGTCCTGTTGCACTAATGGACCGACCATGCACTAAAAAACCCTAATTTATCACAATATTATGCATAGATTAACACTTACACAGGGAATTGAATCTCTTAAACAGGACAGTCAATCACTGCCCAGACGGTGACATGAGCCTCTGCTGCAAGCATCCTTGCAATGGTGCCTTCAGCTGGACGGGCTGAGCCTCCCCAAACTGTCGGTCTGATGAATCCTTACAACCCAGCTGGCCTGTCATCCTGAACGATCCGTCCCAGCCTACTCATGACCCATAGCTACTTGAGCTATGCGCAAAAGACTTTCCTACATGGTCATTCCTGCATATACAGGAACGTTTCTACAGATTATTTAAAACTACCTATGTATAGTTTTGTCAGTTCTTTCAACTACAGCAGGAAAAGCTGGGAGAGTCCCTGAGACTGCCAGATTCTCTGCTCAGGGAGTCAAACAGCACATTTAAGCCTAAAAACAGTGTCTGTCAACTGATCTATGCACAACAAAGGGAATCTCTGGGATCTGTCGCTTTGTTGTGAGGCAGGTATTGCACAGTCTTGGTTACAAATCCCAGGCATATCTTCTGGCCATAACACAGCAAATAGCACGTAAAAAAAATAATGAAAATGCAATCGTGTCGATAGATTGGTAACACACATTTATTTCCACAAACTAGAAAAAAATCTCTTCCTTTTCTCTAAAGATGAATGAGGAACTTTCAGGGTCTCTGTGATCTACGTGTGCTCCATAACTAAGCAACTTTGGCAGATTTTTCTTTGCTTCCACTAGTACCACATATTATGCATTCAGATCCTGTTCCAAAAGCCATTGCTGTTAATTGAAGCCATACCACAGATTTCCATGGGCTTTGGATCAGATGCTTATGTAGTTTAATGAAGTGAGCCTCAGAATTCAACTGAATTTATGCATATAAAATGTTTTGTTCCTGGACTTCGAAGTAGGGACTAGAGCTAACGAATAAATTGAGTAACTAGCTCCTGCGATGAAATCCAGGACTGTATTAGGTACCTAAACACCACACATAGGGTATAGAGAAGAGTTAAGTTCCCTACTGTTCCTTTCAAAGATGTATCATGCACTAACACACCCACGTAAGTGTCCCTTTACATGGTAGCAGTACAAACAAATGGAGGACCAAAAACTACTAAATGTGTACAAACACGTTTCAAATACCTCTGTTGGGTGGAAGATGATGTTATCTATTCTAAAGTCCCCATGAATCAGGCTTTCTTCATTATCATCAGGTGGCAAGTTGTTTGCTAACCACTCAGCCAGCTCGTTCATGACAGGAATATCTGTATGAGCAGCTGCATCATATTGTCTTTTCCAAGTTGATACCTAAAGAAATACAAACACTTCAACACGTTTTCCAACTGATTCACAAGTTTTGCAAGAGCACAAGATTGTGAAGCACATGCCTCCGGGCTCTGACGATCACCATGTTACTTGTAAATTCAGTAAAACCCAGTACTCTTGCATTTGCAAATGCAAACTGTGAGATCAAAAGATGCAATGAAGACTACCTCTGTTTTCTATTTCAATCCTTTTTACATAGCCCAAATCTAATTTTATTCCAAAAAGCAAATGAATATCGTTCCCTGAGTATAGCACTACAGAACTGATCTGAATGTGGTAGTAACTTTCTACTGTGCACAAATAATTGAACTAAGTGAAGGTGTTTAATAGCTAAAATATGATGGTTACTTTTACAAGTCATTAATAATTAACAATTTTGCTTGCAAATCAAATAAATCTTCAAAGACCTGACAGGAGAATTTTTTGAAGAGCTGTACCTGTCTTCTGCAGTATCCTGGTCCTCTACCATACCCTTGGAGACCCAACGACCGTAAATCAAAGGAGTGCAACAGGGCCAAAGTTTCTATCATTGCAATATACAAAGCAGAACGCTCTGCTGGGCCCACTTCAGGCAGTGAGAGGTCTCGGAAGATGCGACCCTAGAAACAACATAAAGCAAATGCAGTGAACCAACATTCCCTATGCAATCAAAAATTCCTTCCTCATTTATCTTATTCCTTGCCCAGGACAGATGAAGGGATTCACAGTAATCTCAGATCATGAGTATACAGGGTATCTAACGGAAGGCAATTAAAATAACAGATATATTCAGTAGCTGAAAGTCTGAATTAGAGCACTCGATCCAGATATCCTCAAGCTTGAAAGTACCAGGAAGCAAAATATTACTGTATTGTCTCTAACAGCTAACTTTCAGAAAAAATATCAATGAAGACCTTGAGGGGGAAGGGCGGGGGCAGGCAGGGAGATGAGAGGAATGGGTGGGCTGTACGTACAAAGAGGCAATCCAAAGAAGTTCACTTGCATTTTCCTTAAAAGCAGTTTAATACATTTAGAAGATGGGTTTGTTTTTCCATTTTCTCCTTTAAGTTTGACCCTGACAGTAACAGGTTGGAAAAGAAAAAACAGACTCTTCTCTGCTGTAAGTTTCTTGATTTACTGGTTCGCATATTAACAGCTTCATTTATCATTGGTTTGCATATTTATGGCTTTATTTATGGCTTCAGTATATTTACACAGCTAAAGCATCAATAGAACTTTTTTGCTGAGAGATTCTGCATAACAAACCGAGAAATCAGATTTTGTATTGTGCAGTAGTTTATTCAATACAATAAATGTTTGATTGTTTTCTAAATGCACAATGTATTTCTTAAAAACAGTGCACTACCGTCCATCTTAGAATGGACAGAATGTAAATTATATCCTTAGAAATGTAAATATATCAGTAGCAAGGTTTCTTATTAAGGAATCACTTTGTTCTAGTCAAAACCAGAAAAATCCTCCACCTTTAATGTAAGATAATTGTTTCAAATTCTTTGTAGCTTTTACATTTTATTACTCCTGATTCGTGGTTTTTGTAGGAAGGTTAACTTTATCTCCAGGAACTGGCCCACAAACTCCTACATTTCTAATTTCCCAGTGAACCTGATGATAGAGTAGGATGCAATGAAAGGGAAGAGGCCTGAATTCAAATCCTCCTCCCACAGGAAAAAAAAAAGACCCGACACAGTAGACTGGCTTACACTCAGAACCACCAAAATCTGACAGAAACAGCATCAAGTCAGCTAGAGTACCCCCAGAGTGGCAGACCACAGACAGAGGTACGCCATGTACTTTCTGAAACTAGTGCTTGAGCTGGAATCCTGCTTGGTTTTCAAGAAGAGGTGATTGCATGTAGATTCCTATCTTCAGAACAAAACAGGTCCCAGGATGTCCAAAGATTCAGTATAACTTTACAGCCTGATTGTTCTCCCTCCAACTTACGTACGCTTTTCAGAGAAGCGATACTGCCTCATTTCAAGACATCCTTCTGACAGCTCAAAAGAAGAACAAGAGGTTAAATACTGAGCTGAAAATTTCAGCAAAGTGGGAAATAAATCCTGGAGAAGCTGAAATCAGTGAGAATCTCTGATAGCTAGCATTTGTTAAAAATATCAGAGGATTATTTATGTTTATATCACAAAACTTAGTAAATGCTGGAGACGGCTCTAACAGAAAGGTTTTAGACAATTTAAAAGTGGCTTGTAGTATGGAGAAGAAAAAGAATCTCTCACATTAGAGGACCAACCTGCACATGCTGCATTACATAAAATTCTGTTCCAATGACAGAAACGTCACAGCAATATAACAGGGGCTCAGGCACTGGAAATCCAGCTGAAAATAAGGCTTTCTGCACACGATACTCTCTATCGACCTGAAAAAGACACAGAAATTTAGGTTCAATGAAAAGCTCCGAAACATAAGTAGGTACGGTGAATGACAATGTATCATCTTAAATGTTTAGTTATGTGCATAGCACAGAAAACTGGAAATGATCCAGCAATTTACTGCATTTCTGGCCACATTCAACAATGTGCCACACCATCACATATAGGACTTAGCCACCTGCAATACAAAGCGTTTCGAGCTCCATGAAGAATGTAACTTACCGCATGAGCTCTAGGTAAAAGGGGGCCATGGGGCTTCTTCCTGAGCACATACGCCTGCCCACCCTTCTGAAGGTAAAAGGTTGGATTTGACTGGCCTGAGCTACGAAGAGAAAGATTATAATTACTTACGAATTCAAGTAATTACAAATTTGCAAACTTTTAACGGAAATGATGCAAAAGGCGCTGTGACTTGCCCTGAACAAAATGGCAAGACAGAGGAAAGGGTTCTTCTCAAGAGTTGTGGGTCGTTTTTTTTCAAATAGAGTCTTACAAGGATGCAAGTGATAGCCTACAACATCAGAAGTCAGAGGTTCTATTCCTACCTACAAGAAAGATGTCTTCTTTCACTGCACAGGGATCACAGATACTCAATTTGTTCTCTTGTGAAATGGAGATAGCATTTATCTCTCCTCCCGAAAGAGACATTATTAATGTTTTCAAGGTATGCAGTAGATACTAACTTTGAAGCTTTCTGACTTGGAGGAAATGAAACAGAGCAGAATTCACACTAGCCCATAATCCTATTTGTCCTTGGGCGAGCTGTATTTTGAAGAATGTAAGCATAGAGAAAGCTCTCCAAATAACTGATGTACCAAGCCCCACCGTATGCTAGCCTGTATCATCACATACATATGCTATGTTTAAGGGACTGCCTATAGTAACTGTAAAATTTTAAAGAATGAATGTTGCAGTGACAAAGAATCATAGAAATTAGTCATTTCAATCACATACATGCGTAAAAGAGAAGGACAACCTAGTTAAACCCTTCATAACACCTTGTCCATCATATCCCAATCAAGCTCATTGGTCCTTATTTTCCTCAAGGCTCTGTGCTAATCCATATGTCTTCCTCTCCTCATTCTGGATCGTTTTTAAGATGCATTCCGACCTGGTCCAATAAAAGATTAGACAACTATTGGAAAATCAAAACCAAGTGAACTTTTGTCCTCATGCTCCCCACAACATTTCCATTCTCCGTGAGGCAGTTAGGGCACAGCCTGCAAGATAGTTTAACAAGTATACTGCACACACAAATACTCTGCCTGGCACAGCAGAGATTTAGATTGGCTGAAGCCTTGAGGTGCAACTGCAAGACAAACTAAATAGTAAAAGCATAAATACTGACAGTATTTTAGAAGATTTTACTGCCAGCTACTCTCCTGACGCCTCTCCTAAGGTCTCCTCAATTGAAGTACATGTGAGGATGAGAGTACAGCTGAGGATTCAACGGATGTTTTATATTTGCACCAGAAGACAATGAAAAATTGTTTACTGTTTCTTAGCGATAGCTGCCAAAAAAGCAGTCAAGGTCGTGTTTACAAAGGAATTAATACTTATTTTTAGAATAACTGAACTTCTAATAGTTAGCTCTGATTTGAAGTCAGCCAGCCACACCACTCGTTTGCTGAACGCAAATGAACAAGATGTTCCGTGCGACAGTGGCTCCGTAGCCTGGGTGCAGCACCTCACGGCACAACACATCGCTCTCGGGGCTTTAACCGGCATCTAACCACAGCGGTACGCCCTTCTCCTGGATTTGCTTACCTGGCGATAGCCTAAGGCTCTTAAATTGATTTCTTAAGCCACGTACGTGCTTCCAAACTTTATTACTTGCTGTGCAACTAAAGATCAGAAAAATTGAGATTTACGAGTAGGCAACAGAATGTGTGCGTAACCCAACGGAGAGCACCACGGAAGGCCAAACACACGTCGCTGGAGGACGGCGGGAA